CTCGCGTCCTGGCGGACTGGCAACAGGATAGACGCTGGTCGCTGGATGAGAATTCGGTTGGCTCGAGGATCAAACGGCGGAGCTCGGCCTCGAGGACCAACGAGATCATCGGAAGATCCATCGACAGGGCTGGCACACGGCATGGACGAGTCACGAAAGTCATCGAGGATCGTCTTGACGAAACAACCGACGAAGCATTACGCGTTTCCCGATCACCGCTCTGCTCTCTTCGTTTCTTTCGTTCTCTGTTTCTTCTTCTGTCGTTGTTTATCATTGCGTTGCTTTGGCGAGGTCCAGGTATACGTGCTTACTCCGCGAAGCCGTACAAGTGTCAGTATTAATACGCCGAGGCGGATCTTCTCGTCGACGGACACGAGGACGGGAAAGGCTGTGGTCGCGAGACGGAGAGGATTCGCTTCATCCGGAACTTTCTGCCGGACACGAGGATCGATCGTGAAGGATTGTCTTGTACATAAATTGGCCCGGTCTGACCGTTTTCATCGGCACGGATTTACATATCAAGCTAACGATCGTCGAGAACGACCATCGGCTCGATCGACCTTCTCGAGGTTCCGATGGTTCCTCGCGGGATGATACATGAGTTTGCGTGTATGCGATACACGCTCGTGGCACGCCATTTTCCGGTTCGTTTCGTGGCGACGCCATCTTGCGAACGAAGCAGACGAGACACCTGCACGATCTCGATGTGCACCGCATTCCTCGTTGACCATTTATCATGGGATCCAATAAATCGGAGGTTCCTCATTGACCATTAGATGCTACACACTGGATACAATTATCTCGAGAGTGTTCAGAGGATCTGAATCAATCGTGCACGCGAGTATGCAGACTCCGTGATGCGAATTCGATGGAACAAATCGTCCGACTCGCGAGAATCTTTCGTTTTTTTGCTGTGCAGCAAAGAAGGCGTCTCACCGTTCTAGCTCTATCGTCTGTCGTTGTTTTGTATACTCTGTACGTGTATATATTATAATATTCGATATCTATACATGCACCTCGAACGAGTATCTATTTATGTTTTCACGTTGTTCAGATTTTATTTTACAACGCTTGGAATTGTGCTCCGAGAAAGAGTGTGTGTGTGCGTGTGTACGTGTGTGGTGAAGTTAGTTTCCGCGTCGAATCTCTGATCCTTCGATTTATCCGCTTGCGAAAAATGGAAAGTCTCGAATATGGAAGGTCGCAGAAGCTTCTCGCGAGTCTAGGTTCTTTTTGAAAGAGATGGCGAAAATAAAGGGACGGTGTCGTCCCAGCTGCGTGTTTGTGGATAAGAATCGTTTATTGTCCCCTCATCGGGAACGGAAACGAGAAAGATGGCGGGAAAATGTTTCCTCAAAGCTGTAGTGTTCAGGTTGCGACGACGGACTCGGTACTCGTGTACATTATTTTTCTTTTCTATTTTTTTTTTGTTCTGTCGAAAGGACGAAGGAATACGTGAAAGGGAGAAACGGACGAGCAACTTGAAAGTTTAATTGTGTCCCTTGAAAACGCCCCCGTACACTATTGATCAGATCGCGGACTGTGAATTGAATTTTATATTGAAGACAATGAAAATCGACGACACAACAATATATTAGTGGTCCCTCGGCAATATTTTGTCGGGCCGCGGGACGTTTTTATAAGAAAGGTTTTAGATCTCCGATTTGAAAAAGAAAAACAGAAAAAAACGCGAAAAAACATGCTGGAATAATAATAATAATAATATTAATAATGATCGAGGTAAAGAAGTAATAAGTTGTGTTTTTTCGAAGCGAACCAAATGACTACTAAAATAAATATATAAATAGAGACTTTACTCGGCCATACGTAACGTAAGATAATAAGGAACAAGAAAAAAACAACAACAACAAAATACAAAAAGGGTCTAAAGCACGCGTTGTACCCTTTCTAAGATGCGTGTGTGAGAGAGAGAGCGCGCGCGAGAGAGAGAGACCTAAAGAAGAATGAGAATTATAACTTAAATAAGGGGAATTTAACAAACAAAAAAAAAAAGAAGTGTTTATATTTGAGGCAATATTTGTTACAATACAGCTAGGGAATAAGTTGTATATCATTTTAAGGGGCTCAGTATATAAAAGCGAGGATCCTTGTTGATTGTCGACGTAAACGAGGTTAAAGACAAAACACACGTGTGAAAAATAGTAAAAACAACGTGCAACTCGTAATGAAAGGATACGCGTTGTACGTTGTCTAGAAAAATTCGGTATCGTACAACTTTTAGGACGTTGAAGATACGAAGTTGGTAGTAACGCTGACCTAACACGAGACGTTAAAAGATCGGACATCTTTTAAAGATACGTGTGTAAATACAAATTCCTTGGAGTATATCTTTAAAGCACTTTATACTAAGGACGTTGTTTAAAAAGTATACAAAGTTATTCAGTATTTTATGTCGGGTCAGGTGCACTATCAACCTTGCGTTCTCAGACAGGGAAAAGCTGTACTACCAAAGTTTCTTGCGAGAAGCTTATCAATCTTAGAGTGATGTGTGTATGCGCGAATAACAAAGGTACTAAGCTAAGGAATTAAGAAAACCCGCGGATAATTAGCAAGCAAATAAATAATAGAGAAAGACGCATTAATCGACGATAGTTTGTTTCATTTCTCTGTTCTTTTTCTTTCGCTTTCGTTTCATTACGTTCGGACTGAATTGTTACATCACATTCTCGTACTTTTTCTTGTATTAGAGTTTTTATTATTATTATTAATATTATTATTATTATTATCGCTATTATTCGTCGTCTCTAATGTGTAACTATATATATATATATATAAATGTATGTATGTACGAAAAGGAAATAAGTTTCAAGGCTAGAATACACATCACTGTTTTTATCCTCGAGGGATTTCGGTTTTAAAATTAGCAGGACCTAACGCGCGAGGCGAAATTGCGAAATTACGACACCGTGAACGTAGATAATAAGCAGCTAGGACTCTTGTAATCATATCATAACGTTTTGTAGATATACATATTACATGTGATCCGCGGAGTACGGCGTTATCTAAATCAAGAGAGTGTATCGTCTCGAAAACTCACGCGGTAGAAAGGAATTTATGCTCGATTTTTAGATAATAAGATCAAGCAGTTTTAGTCTCGATGAAGAAACGTGATTCCTCGGGAACGTGTTAGCAGCGTGAGGCACATTCGTCTGATTTTTCTTTCGTTTTCATACGCTTCTGCGTACCTTGTGATAATGCATTCGTAGTCGTTACGTTGCCCATTCCTAATTGACATAATTCCATGGTGACGATGAGAAACGAGCACACGCAGAGGGGCTAAAGAATAATAAACGAGTAGAATGCTTCTCTTTCTTTCGAGACACGCCCGTTCTCGAGGAGTTATAATTTCGTTTTCGTTAGGGAATTTCGAGGTACACGTTTACGGAGCGCAAACTAAAGAACGAACGAAACTTTAAGGAGTAAAAATGAAAAAGAAAAAAAAAGAACATATTGTATCTGAGAGGTCAAGCACGCATGCCAGACTGTCGCTTATTTTCT